GGGCAAGGATATGACAATGGCTCTAACATGAAAGGCAAAAACAAAGGTGTTCAAACAAGAGTACTTCAAGTAAATCCTAAAGCATTCTATACGCCGTGTGGTTGTCATAGTCTTAACCTTGTGCTTTGTGATATGGCCAACTCTTGCTCTAAAGCAAAAACTTTTTTTGGTGTGGTACAACGCATATATGTATTGTTTTCATCTTCCATTCAACGTTGGGCAATTTTAAAAGATAATCTAAAGGAAGGCCTCACGGTTAAGTCGTTGTCGCAAACACGTTGGGAAAGTCGCATTGAAAGTGTTAAACCACTAAGATACCATGCTTCAAAAATAAGAGATGCTTTAGTTGACTTGTACAACAATCCTACCACAGATTCGATTGCAAAAAGTGAAGCTAAATCCCTGGTAACTTATGAACTTGAGACTTTTGAGTTCTTGTTTAGCATTGTAATTTGGTACAATTTGTTGTTTCATGTGAACTCTGTTAGCAAGCTTCTTCGAAGTGAAGATATGGATATAGCAGTTGCTATAAAGCAGCTAGATGGGCTTGTTAAGTATGTTGCAATGTATAGAGAAGTTGGTTTCACAGAGGCTATGGTTGAAGCTAAAGAAATGGCAAGTGAATTGGGAATTGAACCTATATTTGTTGAAAAGCGCATTATTTCTAGAAAGAAACAATTTGATGAGAATGTTAGCGGAGAGGTGACCCAGTCGGTTGAAGAATCATTTAGAGTTGGTTACTTCCTTTATTTTGTTGATCGAGCCCTTTGTTCACTCAAAAATAGGTTTGAACAATTCAAAGTATATGAGGCAAATTTTGGCTTTTTGTTTGACTTGAAAAAGTGCAGCGATGAATCATTAAAGGCGGGGTGTGTGAACCTTGAAGAATTTTTAAAACATGGTGAGATTTCTGATATTGATGGAAGAGATTTATTAATGGAGCTAAAAGTCTTGAAAGAGAGATTGCCAAAAGAAGTCAATAACCCAATTGAAGTGCTCAATCATCTGTAGTTGATGGCAAATTGTTTCCCAAATTCATGGGTTGCTTATAGGATACTTTTGACTATTCCGGTTACAGTTGCACCGGGGGAAAGAAGCTTTTCAAAGTTAAAAATCATCAAAAATTACCTTCGATCAACCATGTCACAAGAAAGATTGAATGGATTAGCATTTTTATCTATTGAAAATGATTTTGCAAAAAAACTAGATTATGCAAGTATGATTGATTTATTTGCTTCTAAAAATGCAAGAAGAGCGAGGATCAAGTGATACATATTAGTTGTTATAATGTAATGCTAAGTATTTTTTGTGATTTTAATGCAAATCTTTTGTCCTTTACCTTAATTTTTTTTTCATTCAATAAAAAAAAATGTGAAAGGCCCCAGAAATTTAGTAGTTCACTATTGGCTTTGGGCCCCGAAAATCTCAGGGCCGGGTCTGATTAAGGAAAATTGAAATGTGACTTGCAAACTTAAGAAATCAATTTATGGACCTAAAAAGCTTTTTAAAAATTGTATCTTAAGTTTTATGATACTATTTTTTTCTTTGGATTTAAAAAAAGCATTTTTTATTTGTAGTAATCTCGGTTTCGACCCTTCTTTCATGTTTTGCCACTTCGACTGGGCAGGTCGGGGATCGAGCTGCCCGGTCAGATCGCGGGGGTCTAGGGGCGGCAGCGTCCCTTGGCGGGTCCGAAGGCAGCGCTCTGGCGGGGTCGAGGGGTAGCGCCCCCGAAGCAAAAATGGAAAATGCATTCGAAGTTGCTTGTTCGCTCGTGTGGCCGTTTATGCGCTCAAGCGGAGAATGTTTGGTTCCAAAAATTTGACTTATCTGCAAAAGTACTGGGAATGTGTATTCGACGCTCGAGCAGGGCTTTCCACGCTCAAGCGGACCATGTTATATCAGTTCGTGAATCTGATATTTCATATCACTTTTGTATATCTCTCTCTCTAAAAACATTTCCTCTCCCTTTTCTCTACATTTCCCTATGCCAAATTGGATAAAAACCTTGATTTCTCAAGATCTATTAAAGTTCTGTCATAGGTTCTTCATCAAAGTTGGTTAACTTATTGAGGGCATCATTGTATGCGGTGTAGATCGAGTTTTCGACACCGTTGATTTTTGAGGTTTCATCTCATTTCTTCTTCAAAACTTGAGGTAAAGATTTTCTTAGAGTTATATATATATATATATATATATTTGCAAGATCTAGATGATTTTCGAAATCATCTTTCGATAGCTTTGAAAATTGATTGTTGATTCAAGAAGTTGAGCGATTTTGAAAGTGGGTTTATCTCTTGTTCTTTTAAAATGATCTTATGGGTTTTGATCTTCGTTGATTGAAGAAAAGATGATTTTGGAAAGTTTTGTTTTGAAAGATTTGAGTTGTATAGTTTTGTTAAGAAAACCTAGAATTTGGGGATTTTTTTTTTAAAGAAACTGAAAATCCATGAATGATATTGTTATATTTATTTTGTGTGTCAAAATAAATGGATGTTTGGAAAATTTCTTATTTATATTTATATAAATGATGAATTTCAGGGAATATGAGAATTATTGTTCATTTTGAAAATTATTGTTCAAAACGTTGAAATAGTCTTGAAATGACTAATTGTTGAGGACTGAGAATTTACAAGAGGGAATTGTGTTATTCCTTAGATTATGAATTGGAATAAAAGTATTTATATTCATCTTGTGTTATTGGCATATCAATTCATTTGATTACATTAAACTTTGAAAGTTGATTTGAAAACTTGCATTGAGAAAAGAATGTTGAGAAGCAAGTTTCCATGAATTGGTTTTGGGATAAATACGGTGGTAAGTCTTGACAGGTGGTGTAGATGAAATTGAATAGGTGTCGAGCCTTCTAGTTAATACTCGTAAAAATGACAGATTATAGGTGTCGAGCCTTCCAGTCAATGCTGGTAAAAATGACTAATTGGTAATACTTGTATAGTCTACTTGCAAACACCAACCTAGGGATTACCAGAGTCGTATTTACTACCCTTGAAATGAATTGTTAAGTTTTGAAGAATTGAAATTGTATGACATCATTGAGCATGATGGTTTTCAAAGATGAAGATGTGATTTTCTTTCAAAAGGGCATAGCATGGCATGTGCATTTCATCTCTTGAGACTTGTATAAAATGTATATACTTTGTTAAGGATTTCCTACTGGGCTTTATGCTCATCCTACGGGATTTTTGTACAGGAAAAGTTGTGGTGATTGTGTTGAGAGTACGAGACTCTCATTTTGCTGTGACTCTGTGTGTAAGCCAAGGGTTGTATGTGTGTGGGTTTGAATAACCGTTTTGTGTGACCAGGTTCAAACCTTGGAAACTTGTAAACCCCATTGGGAGTATTTGTTTGTTTATTTACTTGTTGTTGGATTAATGAATTGTTGCATGAAGAACTATTGTATCATGTAATGTAAGTTTGAAGATTCATATTCGGTTTTTCTTGAAAGATCCATGATTGTTGAATTGATTGATTACGTAAATTCAGACTTTGGAGGATGCATTGATAGTAGAAAGTTCACTTTTGATTATTTGTTTTTATTATGTGAAGAAGAATATCATGAAAAGTGTTAAATGAACTATAATAAATATCTCCTATGAAAGTTGAATTTGTGGTGTGCTTTGAGACCACAATTCAAGAATTGTTAATTTCGTAATTGTTTTATTTTCTTAGAATGACAAGTATTCTAATGAGACTAAACACATTGAATAGAAATACTTTACTGTTAAAGAAAAATTTTTAAATGCAAATTTATTGATGAGATGATTACTCTTAAAGACAATTAAGAAACTTGTTAGTTGAATGGGTCTTGAATGTAATCCGTAACAACTATTTATGATTTATTGTGTTATTTGACATATTGAGATCTCATTAATTGTGTTTCTAATATGTTTCTTGTTATGAATGGTGTAGATACATATATGAGAATGAATAAATGATAACAGGAATAGTCTTTGATAAAAAGACATTATTGGACCTTTTAAATACACTCCTCACTCAAGGACTATATTAAATTAGTTGTTAGTGTTGTGGTACATGAAAGGGACTATGTCGTACTATTGGTGTAGTATCGCCATGACTCGCATTGGTGAACTATTTAATTATAGTATTATGATGATGATTAAATTAAAGTAAGATTGGATATGTTTTATTGCGCGCCTAATGTTTACCTTATTAAATCTTGATGTCTGTTATCATATGGGCCAAGTGAGAAAATGTAAGACTAAATTTAATTATTTAGTCATTATGGTAACCCACATAATATGGCAATATGAATTATAAATTTAATAAGATTATAGTTTCATATTTTGAATCAAAAGTTATTATCTGATTGGTCAATAGATGGAATAGTTTTCAAATCTCCTACTTTGATGGGCAAGTGGAATTATAGTTATATTAGGAAACTGGTTCCCTTTCTACCTATAAAAGTATGTTTAGATCACCCATCAATTATTTTGAATATAATGTATTCTAAAGAGAGGGTCAAGAGAGAGAGAAATATATTTTTTTCACTAATATTATTATTAGGTTTATGTTCAATCAATTTTGGATAACTGATCCAAGTATGTTATTTATTTCCGCATTATGTTATTATTTGTGAAAATCATGATAATTCATGATTTTGAATTATGAAGGTTGTTATATGCATAACATCATAAAATTTTTACATTTTGGCATTATGTAGCGTGGGATTCTCACAATTCATAAATTTATTTGTCCTAACACACTCTTAATCATTAGATAATGTCAAAATACGTGAATCTTAAGACATAATCCAATAAAAATTGTAAACAGAAGATCTCATGCGTTATATTAGATCGAGCAAGGTGGTCTTTTGATTGTGTTTCTATTTTAAGTAATTAAATACTTATCAAAATAAATAAATAGAATTCAGCAGACATCAATTTTACAAATCTAAAATCAAAATCAATATGGTGGATCTATTAATCTTATTGGTTAGAAAATGATATGGAAGTTGTTACCTTCATCCTTAATGCTTTGTTAGATTCGGCTAGCACTTGTTCCTGTAACAACCAGACAGTGAATGTTAAAACTCGTCTCCACAACTAACTTAAGCTGATAAATGTACTGATATTATATACTTATATCTATGCATATGGTACAACTCTGAGTTAGTACATACTTTCTTTTGAAGGTCAGCAAGCTGATCAAGCATAAATTGAGTCTGAAAAGCAAAGAACACACAACAATGTTCAGATTAGTTTCTGATGGAAATATATATATATATATATATATGTATGACAAAATTGTTTAATCCTCACTACTTGGCGTTTGGGATTTGAATTTATTAATGGTTTTTCTTATTGATTTTTTCGGCTTCAGTGAATTTTTAAAAAATTTTTTTAAAATATTTACATTTAAAGATTCGACTTGATTAGACCAACCAGAAAAGTAAAAAAATAAAATTTTTAAAAAAAGTTCACTAAAGATTAGAAAACGAGAGACATCTTTTCAATTTAAATCGGATTGGAAAGTGTTGCTGGGCCTACGTGGGCTCAACACGGAACCCACATCGATATTCTGAATCATTTAATGTGTAAAACTCGTCGAGTACCTCAATTTTGTAAAACATAAAAATAAAATCACGTTGATCGGATATTGATAGTTACTTGATCAGATCAGAATTATGTCAACGTTAAGTATGATTTTAAAAATAAATTATTAACACAAATGCGATCTGATTAAGTGTCTATTGATATCTCATTAACGTGATTTTTTGCATGGATGAAATACTTAATGAGCCCTATATATTGAATGATTTGGATCATCGATGTGAGCTTCGTGGTGGACTTAGGGATGCAGCTTGAGTGGGCTCAACCCAAGCAACCTAAGCCCAACTCGAATTTTTTTAGGGCTCAAAGAATATATTTTTAAATTCAATAGGGGCTTAGGCAAAAATTCAAAAGTCTGAATTAAATTTGGATGGATTTGGTAAAGATATCAAATAACTCGAGCAACTCAAAATCGAATTATACATATATAGATATATTTAAATATTAAATATATATATAAATTATTAATCATTACATGATATTAATGTAATTTAAATTATTAAATTATATTGAATATATATTATATATGTAAGTAAAACAAAATCTTACATTTCTATTTAAGAAGGGAGAAATGTGACACCCCAAATGTTTAATTTAGCATTGCATAAAATAATAATAATAATAATAATAATAACAACATATTTAATTGTATGTGCTCAAATGTAATTAATTTTAAACTAGGAATACTTATGTGTTGTAAAAAAAAAAAAAAAAAAAAAAAAAAAAAAAAAAAAAATGAAATTCATTTACAATTTGGGCAATTCGGGTTTAACTCGGGTCGGACTTAGATAGACAATCTCATGTTACAATTCAAGCTTGGGTGGGTCTGGGCATGTCTCAGCATAATTTGGGTTGGGTTGGGTTGGGTTGGGTTGGGTTTAGACAACCTCTTAACCTGATTGAACCTGCCTAAATTGCACCCTTAAGTAGACCTACAGAGGCTTAATAACACCTTCTAATTGAGAAACCCAACTGATCTCAACTAGAGAGACCCTTTACAAAAATAAAAAATAAAAAAAATAGAAGCAAAAAACAGTGAATTCTTTTGGGTTTTTTTTTTATCTTTAGTATTTTATTTTATTTTAAATCATTCTATACTAGACAGACTAAAAAAGTTAAAAAAATTATGCAAATTTGAAAAAAAAAATCACAAAGATAAAAAAGTTGAAAAAAAATTACTTTTTAAACTACTATATGCCAAGCATCTCCAACGGTAGTAGGCATTTTACCTATCTAAATATTACTATAAAGTATATATTTTATTTTGCCTATCAACTGTTTTATGTTTTTACTCCAACCATGCTCTTTATTTTAGCTATTTATCCAAATACTATTAATTTTATATAATTCCACGTCAACAACAAAGATGGAGGGAAATGATCCTAATGATTGAATACATTTTGCTTAGCGTTGAAGGCTAGCTACATGTAGCTAGTGAATATGAGTTGAGCCAAAATGCCTAATCATATGCCTAGTGCATTGGAATTGAAAAAAATGAATCACACTAGGCATTTTAACTAACAAGTATTATATGCCTAGTGCATTGGAGATGCTCTTAGAGGGAAGGTTACAAAGCAAGCCTAGTCTCTATTTCAATAAGTTTGGAAGTGTTCACAAAAACACCATCATTTCCAACTAGCTTTTTAATACTATGAACAAGCCATGACATTTAGCACCTATTATACCTACCTCTCAACTATTTTGACACACCCAGAAAGAAATGTAACGTACCTACACTTCATCCATATACAATCCTCGAATCCAACATCAAAGGTTGTAGATTTGACCCTATTTCCCTTCATTTTCCTAGCAAAGTGGTCACACCAATGTTACAATTAGGATTTTAAATGTTGGTCGATAAGTATTGTATATCATATCAACTAATACGTACCATGATTTTAAACTTTTGATATTGTTATTCACCAATATATTTATTATCCGATGTCGGTCTTCTTGATACTTTTATTTAAAACTATGGATGGAATTCTCTACTGCCATCCTCTCTCTTTTAAAGTTGTCTTTCGCTCTCTCATCCCCTCTCCGATGTTCTCTCTTCTTAGGAGGGCACTCTTAACCACCTCACTTCTTATTATCTCCCACAATGAGCATCAAAATCTTACCCACAACACTTCTCTAAAAGAGTTATGGAAATAGTCACTCATTCCTTTACAAAAAACTATGCACTACTAAGCACACGGTCACTGTATGGCGAGAAAATATTCTTCGCTTCCATACTCTTTTTGTCCAAGCCTTGCGTTACTCCGAACAGTGTCATAGAACCTGAAAGCACAGCGATGGTAAGTTACCCGGCGGATGTGTTGCCAGAAAACTCCTTCGACGATCAAGTTAGCACCCTTAGAAAAAAAAAGAAAACAAAAGACAGGATAGCTTTGTGTAAGGAAGATCACAGACCTATTGCATGGAGGCACCACAGAGTTTATATAGTTTGTGAGTGTACTACCTTGCTCGTTCTTTCCTGGATGCATGGATGTACTATCCTCTCTTCGCCTTACACGTGTGTGAGTCAATACTACCAAACAAGATTGACAAAATAACCAAACGGTATTGACAGATACAGATAACGGGTTCCCTCCTTCGTACTTTAATTGGGCCACGTGGCAACTCCCACCGAGCTATCTATAGACCGGTACGATACTGTCTACACTGGTCACCTTCAGCTCGGTCAAGCTAGGTGAACTCATCCAAGCCAACCTTGCTTGGCATCGAGTCATGGATGACACGGTTAGCTCACTCATGGCGGAGTCGCCGACCTCGGCCATTCTTTAGCTCGGTCGTATTTTGTTCATCCAGGCAAATTTTGTCTAGCTCTACAGCCTAGCTAGAATCATTGGCCATCCCTTAGCTCGCCGAAAGCAAGGCTACCGTTTGATTGAACTCCACCCTTGGTTTGAGCTGATTAGACATCTTGGCGTAACACCTGGGTGTCTTTACAGCCCGATTGTTAGAACGTGGCCCAAACCAAACTTTGCTAGGCTCATTTGTTCGACACAAATTCCCTTCTCAATTGCCTCTTAATCCGATCTGCTTCAGCACGATCTAGATTACCATAACTGGCTGAGCTAGGTTTTCTACCCGATTCGCTGAACTACGCAACTCAAATCTCATGCCTTAAAGAGCACGACCCCCAACCACGCTAATGCAACGTCTTATTAGGGACACACATCGCCTTCCTAGGGGTTCCGTGCATCCCTTTATGATGACGAGCGCAATTTCCAAAACATTCAAATCTTAGTGTCCCTTTACATTCTTCATATATAGCCACTGTTCATACCCTTTGGTCTTTACTGTTCATCATCATCTCTAACAAAAAACCCATTGAACCAAAGTAACTAGCCTTAATTCTTCACATCTTACACCCAAATCGAAGCATTCCTCTTGCGAATAGTCTACCGCCACCATCGTCAAAGCATTCTTCACTGATCAGAGTGCAGATTGGAGCCCTCACCTATAAGTTCTTCATACCCGTTATGTTTTCCTTTCATTATTCATGGTTTTCTTAATGTTCTTGAGCCCCTGTTGCGATATCCGCGTCATTAAACACCACTATAGTACTCAAAACCACTAAAAACTAAGTAAACAGGGATTTTTTTACCACTTTAAGGATTAAATGGCCTCGTGTTCTTTGCTCTCCAATGCATGGATCGTCTTCAGAGATAAACATAGGAATTCGAGGTTGAACCGGGCAAAAGTATGATTTTTTACCCAAAATTATATCTTGATCGGGCAAATTTTATGTTTGTGACACTTGTGAAGAGGACCAAGTTATGACAATTGAATAGCTTAGGCAGTCGCGTGATCAAGCTAAAATATGGTTCATTCCCGTAGCCAAGCTAAGACCAATCCTATCTATAAGACCGGGCTTGTAGCTCATGTTATTTGCACAATCGAGATAATACCTAGTCATCCGCATGTCTGTGCTTCAATCCGGCTCATATAAATGACCGAGCTAAAACCCAGCTCATCTGTTCGGTCGAGCTAAAACCCAGCTTGTCTGTGTGGCCGAGCTAAAACTGAGCTCATTCGTGCAACTGTGGTGTCACTTACACAATTTTGGTTTTCTACTATGCAGAATCCTAGGAGACCAGGCATACCAACACAAGCACTCTCAAAGGTTTAGCAGTCGCTGTTCATAATTTGACCAACACATTCTGCCAAGCAAATTACACTTGGCTCCATGGGGCGCTATCGCTTCTTGGTAAACACGTTAAGCGGACTAGCTGAGTTTCGCGGAGAATACAACGTCCTAGTCGACGTGTATTTCGAGTTCCCTTCCTTGGGGCAGAAAGAATGCTTGCCCTTTCACCGTGCTATCCATAGTTGAAGAGGGGGCTCTACTTCCCGGTACAACCCTTGATCTGCAAGTTCTTAAAATGAATCAGGTTATGCCTTACACAAGTGTCCACCAACACATTCTGAATAATAAATGGGGTTGTCGAGCTAAATCGTTGGCTTGGTTTGAACTTAGGTCTAGCTGAGGTATTGGCCAATACACACTCAGCCATACAATTGACGATTTTAATTAGTACTTAAAAATAAGACCGCGCTGTGAACGCTTCGTGACTGTCACACCGGACAAAGATTTGCATAATGA